AATACCTCTTTACATCAGAACAAACGTCCAAAAAACTCAAAATGTTTGATGCTCCATAGAGTCTTTTGAAAAAAAAATTTTTTTTAAAAAAAAAAAAAAAAAAAAAAAAACACCTCCACAACTCCAGCGCTTTCCATTGTTTTCCTATATCTCTCTTTCTTTCTTCCTGTGTATGCAAGAGTCATTTAAACAGGGCAGGGCACTTTTATGTTGCCCAGCAGGAGGTCATCCACCGCTGCTTTTTGAGTCTGAGCACCAGATTCCCACGAAAGCTTGATCCAACCGTTTCATAGCCGTTTCTGTAGTGCGTCACGTTCAAACAAAGTCTGTCAAAATGTTCAACACAAATCCCTTTCATCATCTCCCCTTCGGCCTCTTTCTGCCCTGCTCAAGCTCCACAGCATATTTCTCTTCACTTCTTAATCAGCGACAGGGTTCAGTTGTCTGGGTAGGTGGCGTACCACAGAGGAAGTCAACATCACTGGTTTTTGTTTTGTTTTGTTTTGTTTTAGGATTTTTTTTAGGAAAAAAAAGCACCTTTGGCATCTTATTCATTTTTGTCTGTTGCCTATTTTTCAGTCTCTTGTCTGTACAGAATTGTTTTGTTTTTTTCCAAACGAAGGTTGCATGGCAGTGGGGAAGAGGACAGAGCAGGTCTCCTGTTGGTAACATCCTCTACTTAGGTCCCTCCCATGCTGGAGTCCCTTGTTCTGATTGGTCTCACCTCACGTCCACTGTGGGAGGAAGCACAAAAGCTTGGATTAGTACCACAATTTTACAAACACAAAAAAATAAAATGAATAAAAATGACATTTTTGCATTTTGTGCCCAATTGCCTCAATTTGTTCATGCATTACAAACAAGCTGACAGAACACACGCAATACCCACAATGTTCTGATTCATGTTTCTCCAGATTTCGAAGACAGTGACCTTTATGGTCCAAAATTAAAACAAAACAAAAAAACACTCTCTCTTTTAGTGACAGGCAGAGATGAGAGAGGATAAATATTGTTGATGACAGAGAGAGAGAAAAGGGTGCCTTTTAAGCAGACATACAGTGGGTGTTCTCTTACTGTATAACACAACAAAAACAGTGCACACAATCTTAACACAGTGGTACAAAGCAGGTGTATGCAGTGTGCATGCTCAGCAAGCCAGACAATCAACATGCAGCACTGGGGCACAGAGCATAGTACTCTTTAGCCTTCCCTCTCCTCACACTGATTGGCGGTAATGTGATTGGTGACGGTGATTTGTCAGGCCCTCTTTGCCCCCTGATTGGGCCAGTGCAGTGCCAAAAGGTGAGAGGACGCCGTGGTGCTAAAGTCCTACCTGTTCCCTTCACAGCTCTCCAGTGGACTTTGGGTAATGAGTGCAACTTTATTATGTTGCCAATAAATCCTTGCTGGGCCTTAGCTTTTTAGGTTTCCTTTTTTTAGCTTTAGCCCTACGGTGGCCTGAAAACACAAAGTCGGGTAGGGTGGATAGGAAGGAGGGTTAAAAGCAAGAAGCAGGGTTTATGATACAGAGAGAGGCACAACAGCCCTGGGACAGAAGCAGAGAGTGCAAAGATATGACACACTATAAATACTTGAGATGCCTTATCAGCACACATCACAGCACTTATCTGCTCCCAGGGAAAGAAAAGCTTCAGATCAAGGCACTGCTGGATTTACCTGCTGTCATGCCAAGCAGCCTTTGGACACCCTCCCTTAACACACAGCCTTGCATACAATTTCACACACATACACACACATCCTCGTCTAACAAGGCACAAACACACAAGCTTTACAGTTTTGCAATAGTGGGCCACCTCACAGGTGTGTCTGTCTGTTTGGAAGCAATGATAGGAAAAAGGTCATACAGTGCAAAGCCAAAGAAAGAAGCCAAAGAAGGAAGGCAGGAAAAGCGAGACGATGCATGATGACGCAGGGATGAGGGCGGGACTCAACCTCAGAGTGATTTCTCTGCGAGAAAGCAATGCTGGGACAATATTTGGGATAATGTAACAATGATGGACAATGAATCCGAGGGTCACCCTTACCTGTTTCTGCGTCTGAGTGCTCCACCACATGATGTTGTGACGTGCACACACACTCCAGGTGGTCTTCTAACCGCACAAAGACCTCTTTCAGCTTGGGTCTCCTCCTCACATACTCCACCTTGGCCACCTGAGGAGAGGAAGAGAGAAAAGGTTAGCTCCAGAGCCAGATCCAGCTCCATCATTACTCTTCGCCGAGAGTGTGTCATCGATGAATGCGCACACTCTTTGCCTATCCGCTAGCATCAAGAGGCGTAGCACTGTGACTGATGACTCTTTCATAAACCGATTCATGAAAAAAAAAAAGAAAATAACGCCAGCCGTCGCTTTGCTTCGCTATGTTTGAAGTGTGATGGCAGCATTCCTCAGAGGTTGATGCATTGGGTTCCGCTTGCTGTGTGCTCTATGGGCTGTTGATCAGGTGTGTAAATACTGAATGGAGTGTATGACCCTGTCCAAGCAAACTCAAACAATGGGAGAGGAGAAATGGAGGGGGGGTGGGGGGGGTGGGAGCAGTGTACGCCCTAACGCCTAGGGATGGTTTACTCTGGCGGGAGAAGAGAGGCCCCCCCACACACACACACACACACACACACACACACACCTCCTGCTCCAGGCCTGGAGCATCCACATCCAGACAGACACACACCTAAACTCCCTCTCCTTGCCCTGACATGTAGGCAGGTTTTAAACCACATTAATATTTCTCTATTTCTCCATGGGTTAGGGAAAGTGTTGTTTAACATGTGCATGCATGAAATACAGTTTACATGGTCTAATCTAAGCAGCAGAACCCCAGAAAGCTGCTCTTCCAATCTAACAAACACAAGAGCAAGGCAGGAATTCCTACCCTTCAGTCCAGCTAACACCCTCTCAGTTTAACACAACAGGACTGACCTCCAATTCCCACCCAACAGCTAGTAATGAAAAAAAAAAGAACCCAATCCTCGGAGCGGTATGAATAGGCTATGTTGATTAAAGCTTAGATGAAAGCTGAACAGAGAAGGTTGCGTGGAGGTTATGATGGTCTTGTTGTGTAATTCAGGGGAGGTGGCCACATGCTTTTCCCTCTCTGATCTGAGTGCCAAGGGCAGGTAACCTCCCCATCCACCACTGAGGGGCCTGGGGGCCACATGGAAACAATATCCCCTGCTTCACCTGGTCACTGCACAAGAGAGGATATTGGCTGACAATCTCCGAACGCTCTCTGGCGTTATGAGCAACATGGTTTTTGCAGTCGGCATGAGGCTCACACGCGCACGGACGGAGAGGCCAAAACTGATGAGAGGCTTTTTTCCTCTATCCTGTGATGGCAAACCGCCAAGGCTGACTCTCAGTGCTGACTTAGTCATTCAGACAAACGAACATACCAACATACCATAACATACCAAGCCGCTCCTTTGCAACAGTTTCTTTCCATGGAGAGAAGAGAGAGAAAAAGAAGAGAGGGAGTGAAAAGAGGGTAGGCAAGCAGAGGAAGTATGCGGCGAGCAAACAGAGGACAATGGTGTCTGGGTTAGCGGTGGTATGTTTGCTGTTATCGGGGCCTGACAGAGAGAAAGAGCAACGAAGAACTGGGAGCAGGAAGGTGGACCATCCCTCAGTAATGAGTGCGGGTGCGTGTGTGCGTGTGTGCGTGTGTGTGTGTGTGTGTGTGTGTGCAAACAGAAGGGTTATTTAAGGAAGGGGGAGGAGGGACTGACCATGATCATGACTAGCATTAAATGACATTCATGTGTTACCTATTAACATTCAGTTTCTGGGTTACCCACCAGGGATATTTATTACACTAACACTGAGAGGATAGATAGAGAAGTTTTTCAAAGGTTTATTGTTATCTACCAAGAGTGCAGACAGTATCACAGGATGACATGAACTTCCCAGAAAACCGCTGCTAATAGTTAATCACATTATCTGACAAAAAAACAGGGTGGGAGGGAGCAAGAGCGAGAGCGAGAGCGAGAGAGAGAGAGAGAGAGAGAGGAAAGCGAAATGAAAGATACAGCTGTCTCTGCGGACGGCTCTGCTGCCGTTGGTTACGGGAATCTCAGAGCTGATTTTTTTTTGGGGGGGGGGTGGGGGGTGGTCAGAAGTAGCCAGCGGGAAGCCAAAGGAGTCAGCCATGTCTGACACTTAGCTACAACTGAGGCTGATCCTAACACACACACACGAACCCAAATTCTCCTTGCCAAACAAACAACTATTGACAGGAGGATAAAGCGATGGGCCCCCTTGATGAGAGGCCCAGCAGTGGGCTTGTCTCCTTGCCCCTCACACAGCATGGTTAAAAACACCTCCCTGCAGGGGTTACTACGCCCATAAAAGCAATCACACTTTCATATTTGTCTGTGAACATGTATAACTGTGCTATATAACACTTCTTAGTCACCCTCTGCTCTGCCCACTTTGTCAACACTCTCTCTTTCTGTCTTGTTTCCTGTTTCTTGTGTTATGGGAAAGTGTTGACGTTGGAGGAATGGTGATCTTCACTCCTACAATTTTTTAACTTTATAACCATATTAAATTTCCCTTTCATCCACTTTCAGCCACTTCTTCACTTCTGTACAAAGAACACCAGCTTCCTATCCAGAGTCAATGACTTCCCACATAAAACATACATCAGAAAGAGACCCCCATGCTGCAACGAGGGGGCCCCACTCTCTCTTTGTATAAATCAAACCTCTCTAAACTCCCTCGAAAGCCGGGGCCCTGAGAAAGAGTCCCCCGAGCGGCTGTGGAATGATATCCGAGCCAGAGGGTTGGGGTGAGGCAGGGGGCTCTGGGAAGTGCACCCCCCTCGGTTTGTCCTCAGTGTCTCCACGGCCCTCCGTGTGAAGCCGATTGTCCCGTTTGGGTTAATTGGGAATTCCCTGCGCACGAAGCACTGATGAGAGCATGATGGAGGGGAAAGTTTTATTCCGGCCTTCCAAGGAAAACACAACAGGGATGTGGATGTGCGCCGCGGGCCATCGTGAACTGGAACAGTGACAGAATCGAGCAAAAATAAATAAAAAAATGTATGTGTGTGTGTGTGTGTTTGGAGAATGGAGGGGTGGAAGGTGCCGGGGCGGGGTGGCAATTCATCTGTTGGGAGGGAAATTAAGCAAGGGAGAGGGAGACACTCGGAGCTTGTTCCCTGGAAAAAAAAAAAAAAAACTCTTGTTGAGATGCTACAACTGTGTGGAAAGTTCTGAGGAGATGGAATGTGAAGAAGCTTTCTGGATCTTCATCTGTCTTCTGAAATCAAAGACAGAAAAAAAAATGACACCCAGAAGACAGACAGGAAGAGAGCAAACCACAGAAGACGCAGACTGAACATCAGACAAAGACAGCCCAGACAACCTGCTGCTGCCCTCTGCTTCAACCCTCCCACATCCCACAAACACACACTCAGGGCGGTGTGTGGAAGAGGTTATCACAGGCGGTGTGTGGAGAGGAGAGGAAGCGAGGAGAGCATTTGTCACGTCGCTCACATGGCTTGCGATGCCAAAATGGCACCTCGTGGCACAACACTCTCTCCCCACCCATCTCCATCTCTCTCTCACACACACACACACACACACACACACACACACACACGTACACACACATTACTGTATCACCAGATGTGAATATCTATATGCGCCTGACTGCATCGTGTGCTGTGTTTCCCTACTCCTCAGAGATCGAACGAACCTTTGCGCAATATCAAATATCAAAGAATCCAAACGTGTGTAATCTTTCCATTTATTTCTTCCCTCCTTCCCGTGTCTGCAGAGAACAACAGAATTGCAGATGAGAAAGACATTACCGCGCACTTAAAAGAGTCAAGATTTTAATGAGAGAGCAAAAAAAAAGACAGGCAGAGACTGACAGAGGGGTAAAATTAGAGAGTGGGAGATGGCTCTGTTGCAGGAGAGAGACAGAAGGAGTGAGGAGGGAGGGAAGAACTATTTTCACATAACAGGCAATCAGACTCCAAGACCAAAGACTGACCACTGAAGTCAGTGGGGAAGAGCGAAAGGGAGGACAGGAGAGGAGGAGTGAAGGAAAATACAGAGCTGAAGTAAAATATGATTAAAATACGGCTGCTACTTTTCTAACTCGAGCTGATGCATTCCAGCTGGTGCAGCAGTAGCCAAACTCTTCTGGCTTGGTCGTGACGCTCCCATGGTCTCTGACCTGCCCCACAACCCCTGCTGTGCACATCACACACACATTAATACACACACATTAATACACACACACACATACACACACACACACACACACACACACACACACACACACACACACACACACACACACACAAACTCCTTCACCCTTCTTCATATAGTAAAAGAGCTGAGTGAATCAAAGGGAAAATAATTCACAGCTGCAAGGGACTTCAAACAGGGAGGCCCCTCATTCCCATCTGCCCCCCCCCTCCCCCAAACGTAATCCACAGGACCCCTCAGACGATCATAAATCATGCTCACTGTATCACCGTCACACTGTCTTTTATTTATGAAACACCCCGTAAGTCAGGGTCCCACACAACCGCAGGGCTACAGCTACTGCTTCCCCCAACACCCGGATCTGACCCACTGTCGCTTAGGTAACTGTCACCGTGTGTGTGAGTGTGTGAGTGTGTGTGTGTGTGTGTGTGAGTGTGTGTGTGTGAGTGTGTGTGTGTGAGTGTGTGTGTGTGAGTGTGTGTGTGTGAGTGTGTGTGTGTGAGTGTGTGTGTGTGAGTGTGTGTGTGTGTGTGTGTGTGTGTGTGTGTAGGGGTCGGGGCCAGGGCCAGTGCAGAGAGATGTGTGGACCCCCACACTCAGCACTGTGGCTATATCCGCCCGGCCGCTGTCAGCCTCCACTTTGATCCAGCAGCCATCAACACTTCATTACTCTGCCGCCCGTCTTCCTCTTGCTGCCGCTTCACACAAATGGCCTTGTCCCTGTGCTGCGGTGGGGGAGTTTACATAGCATAGCATGGAGCGCACTCTCCCTCTCTCTCTCTGACCCACACACACACACACACACACACACACACACACACACACACACAAACGATCTCCTTCTTGGGTTTACACAGATGTGCACTGACGACCCGCTCCGACCTCTGCAAAACACTTATGCTTCATCAAAAGTCCCCGGCTACTAAACCAAACCAAATGAGAGAAACTGATCTCTATTGTCTGCAAATTGCCACACTGATCAAATTATGGGACCTCATGACAGTTGTAGCGACTGCCTGAACAAAAAGAAAAAGTGACGAGAGTGACAGGATTTTAAAAATAGAGTGAAAATCCAATAATAAAAATGCCATCAAAGCAGAAAATACTGTAATTTAGCTATTTCTAATCTACTTTCACTGTGTGAGTCCTTGCCGTAGGAAGAGGGCCCAATTTACTGTCAACTGTATTTTCATACAACAGCACGAAAAAAAAAAGTTTTGGATTACCTGAGTTCCCTCACTTGTACCTCAAACTGAATCACAAATATCACATGTACTGAAGTCGTTGACTGTATCTGCTAATGTGCGAATGAGGAAGGGGAAGATGTAGTGCAGAAGCCTTAAGAGTTAATGAGTGAGAGGATGAGTAACGGCTCCATTCTTTGCCCGTGTCATGGCCTGTTTACTCAGCCCCATTGGAAGAACAAACAGAGAGGCATTTACATTCACACACACGGACTCACACACATAAGTTTACACGAAGACTAATGTGCAAAAGAATGCACATCGAGCTCACTATCTATTTCTCCTTCCGTCCCGCACACACGAGTTCGTCTAGCGAGACTTAGAGCTAAAAGCAGTGAGACGACCACCGGACACGCTGGATGCAGCTGCAGCAGACAGAGAAGACAGACATGCAGGAGAAGAGCAGGGGGAATACAGCAGAAATATGAGAGAAGGGATGAAAAAGTGAGGATCAGAGGAGAGGAGATGGACAAAGAGAGAGACAAAGAGTTTGCCTCATGCCAGTGACACACAGTATTAACTCTTATTCTTTTTCATTACCGTTTCCTGCCATGTCTACACTGTAACAACTCTATGAACACTATCACCCAATAACACTGAAAAATAGGCAAAATGTTCTGCCAGCCTTAAAGCGAAATGAGATGAAATGTGAAGGAATCACTTTGTTGGAAAAGAAAGAGAGCCAAGATGCTGAGACAGGGGGAGGGAATATGGTGTCATTGAAAGTGCAAAAGGAGGTGGGGGTGAAGGAGGAGTCAAAGGATTGCTGGGATGATAGTCTGAATACATAAAAACATTTGCTCATTAAGAATTCAGTTTGCCTCTCTCCTCTGTCTGTTTCCCAAACCTCTCTGTCTCTCTTTCTGTTTCTTTGTCCAACTCTGCCTCTCTCACTTCGTCTCAGGAATGAATACAGAACCATCTTTAAATAGCTGGAAAGGCGCATGTCTTTACACCGTTCTCATTTACTTGTTTTTTTTCCATGCCAGGGCATGCAGAAAACGCTATTTAATGCAACCTACTTGTGCACAAATTAAGTTTCAGTGATGCTTCAAAGTGCAAAAGAGGCTCAATAAAAACGCAAATGCATGAGAGGAGGGGAAAGGTAGAATCTTCTCCTCCCTCAGGCAAGTCCTATTTAAAGTTGGCTTTTTTTTTATTACCCTGCTACTGAACAGGACAGGCTTGTACAATACAGGGCCTGCACAGACCCGTTCTCTTCTTTGGGTCCATAGCATGAAAAAGGAAACAGGAGGAGAAAGAGAAGAGAGGGAATAAATAAATAAAGGTGCATTTGGACAAATGCATAGTGGCATGAGGTGGAAAGAAACACAGCGAATGTGTTCTTTTCCCATCCTTGGCCAGGAGAAGGAAAACAAGTCAGGCCAAGGGTAGACAGGCAACATTTTTAGCTTTCTAATAAATGGAGGGAGAAGCACAAACTGAACCCCTATTCAGACTAACTGCTGAGAGGAGAGACAGAAAAAAAAACTTGGCATGAGACAATGTTTCTCACACACAATGTGGTGAATGTCTCCTGACCGGAGCGAGCCCTGAGGGATGACCTTTCCAGGGATACAACGCCTCACGGCCCCCTTCGCCCCGCGGCTGGAACCACATGGAAAAACGGCCCCCGTGAAACCCTGCCCACCACACCCGAAAGTCCCTCGCCAGTCTGTGTGCTCATTTTGTCCTCAGTGTCATGAGGGGGACACGGACAAAGTCGCATGGATCTCGGCATTCCAGGAATAGCTGAATCAAGCCTTGAGAGAGTCTCATCCGCCATCGTCAGTGTCTCTCCATCCATCCTGGTCACTGTGATCACACACAGAGCTGCTATTGAGGATGACAGACACCGACTGTCTGGCAGACGGAGAGACAGACGAGCTTGCGTGCAGACTGACGGACACACTGGGTTGTGCTGTATATCAGAGCTTGACTCTCTTACCGCACTATGAGTCAGCATTTCTGACCATAAACCCTGGGCCCTGGATGCGAAGCCCTGTGCCCCACAATGGTCGTCTTGTCGGTCCAGCCTTACTGTCTCTTCTCTGCGACTAAAAGAGGAGGTCAGAGAGAGTGTCCTCCTGTCCATACTGAAATCTCCCTGACCTGTGCCAGTGTGCCAAGGGGAAGGAGGCAGCAGGCAGGGTTGGTATGGGGTTGGTATTTGTTTTATTACTCTGCTGGTCTATCAAGGCGGCATCTTTAAAGCCCTGCATGAGGAGAAAGCAATGTCCCGGTGCCCATGGCCAAGCAAGCTCACAATGATTAAAGAGCAGAGACAACAGAGCGCATAGATAGACTCAAAGAGAAACACAAACACAGTCGGAGTGTTCCAGGCCATCCTGTTTATCCCCCAGTTGTCTTTTACTCTTACAGAACAGAGCACATAACTCCCATACCTCCAAACAGAGCGGTGCACTGGCTAACAGGCTGTAGTGTAAATACAGCAGAAATATGACTGGGCTCCAGCCACGGTGTCTCCTCTGATCCTGAACAGAAGGACATGTTTTCGAGCTGCCGATGCCAAAGAGCTTCTGAGAACAGTGCAACCCCCTCTCTCTTTTCACCTCTTCTCCTCCGGGCTCCCTGCTTCCAGAAAAGACAAAGGGCCAAACAAAAACAGACCGGAGGAATGGCTGCGCAGTGACCAGTGACATTCAGACATTGTCAAGATACAGGAGACTGTCTCTCTTTCCCGCTCTTTCTGTCTTATATCTGGCAGGACCATCCCTCTCCGGTCGAGACTTCAACAGATGTCCTGGCTGAAGGTACCAAAAACCCTCTCTCCCCGTGCTCTCTCTCCTTCTCTTCCTCCCCTCCCGCTGTCCTGGCACGGCCACCCTGGCCTCTTGCCAAACACGGGACAGAGTGATGAGGAGCGAGGCTGGTGACCCGATGAAAAGGAAGGTGCGAGGGAAGGGGGCCGCAGAGGGTATGTGGCCACTATTTGAGAACTTCTCAAGGAGTCTCAGAGGACAGGGGTAGAGTGAAACGAAGAGGAGCTGTAAAGGAAAGAGGGAGTGATGTAGGAAAGAAGTGTGAAGGAAGGAAGGTTAATCCAACCTCGCCTTCCATGTGATTTACTTACCTGAGTGAGAGGGAAAGTGGTGATTTGTGCGTGAAGGTGGGTGTGTTTGTGGAATAAATAAAGTGACCATGATATATTGTGTGTTGCAGTAATGATTCTGAGAGAGTGTGTGTGGATACAGGCGTGCCTTTTAGCACGTCAGCCAGCTCACAGACAGCCTATACTGTAGGTGTGCGTGGGCGTGTTTGTGTGTGTGTTTTACCTTAACGGTGCGGTGGTGCTTGCGGGAAGGGTGACAGCGCATGTTGCTGGTGTTGCAGCAGCCCGTGCAGCGCTTCACCTCCACACAGGGCGGCCATATCAGGAAGTTAGCAGACGTGGGATCCACCTGGCTCCTGGGGATCTCGTAGATCACCGTCCGCGTCTTGCACACCGCCGGGACCGCCTCCTCGACTGCAATGAGAGAGGGTGGAGTTGAGTTAATGCGTTTGGTCTGCATGAGCGTCCAGTGACACATTTTCTGAATGCAAGCGCATGCTGATGTATTGTTGTAATCCGTCCTTTTCACTCCCAGCCGCTTCTTGCATTCCTTCACTGCTCATTATTTGATGACTCACTTGATGTGGGAGCTGTTCGCCTTACCTCAGATCACACCCAACCTGTTTTAAGGCTGTTAAGAAGACATGCTTTCCAAAAAGCTGATCTCATATCAGCTAAGGAGCTTTGGGATCAAGTCGGAGAGAAAGAAAGAGTCTGCTCCTTTGTTCAGAGCCCTCACTGGGGTTAATGCAGCGTGACTAGGCCAGAAAACCTTTATGACCGCCGGTGGGAAATCTAATAATGGCCTTTGACCCCGTTGGCTATGGTGAAAAGAGGAAGGCAGTAAGCATTCATTTCAGATTTAATGCTCTGACAGGCACTCAAACCTAAAGATGTGACAGAGAGTGTACAGTAAGATATCATTATGTCGTAAAGATGATATGTGCATCATGAGGGTTTTTGTGGACAGCTGCCTAAACGGTATACTGTATCAGTAACTTATGATACAGCACACAACCATGAAATACAACCAGCCACCTCATCCTGCGTTGCTTTAAATGCTGCGCCGCTGGGAGAGACATGAAGAGCATGCAGCCAGTCTTAACACACAGACTGCACACTACATGGTATTCTCCACGCCTTGATCAGATATCGTACCGCGTGGCGTTTTATGAAGAAATCTGACTGAGAGCCCAGGCGAGCTGCAACTTGAACCCTGAATGCCTGGAATTTCCACGCTCAAGGATATATTTCTCTCCTGACGCGTGTGTCTTAGATCTCCGAGCCTCTGGCCAATTAAAAGGCTTCGTGTCAGACGTCCTCCTCAACCTCACACATCAGACCCGTTTCTCATGATTCCTTGATTGCCATAAATACTGGGTAGATGTGTTCATTAGAGTTCCTTTTATCCACCAAAAAGCCATATAAAAGCCACTAACTATTAGCTTTGTTTGAAATTAGTGTAAAGGGATCGGTTTCATCTCCTGGGAACTCATATGTCAGGGGTGATACTTAAGATAGAGGTTATTTTTAGGGCATTATGACACTGTAACAAGTTGTGCCAAGTTATGATGTATATAGTGCTAAATGTAATCATGATGCAACCTCCGAGCTGCACAGTGAAGCATGTAGTATTCATTCTGTCTTACCGATACTTCTCTTGCGTCGGCTGTGGAGCTGCGAGCTCTTCAGGTCATTGTAGTGACCGTGATGACGGGAGTAGTTCTTATGGTGGTTGTGGTGTTTGTGGTGCTTGGGCTCCTCGATAACATCGTTTCCCGTACCTCGTCAAAACAGAAGGCAGCCATGTTAATAATGTCTCACAGAGAAGAAGCAAAACACAAACACAGAAAGCTTATTCAACCAATAAAAGCAGCTATGAGTCTCTAACCGCTGCTGCAACTTTCACAGTGTCGGATGACTGTGGTGGGTGGCTGGCCAGCCGCCCCAGAAGGCTGCATGGGATCCACTATTGATGTTTTATTTTACCCCTTCCACAACAAACAAAGAGTCGGTTAGTCACACGACCATAATGAGATGGTAACTCCCTACTGGGCTCTTGTGCTGTATGTAACACATGCTTTGATTCCCTGAAGGGCTTAGGGTTCCCCTCAACATATTCTGACTGGCAGGCGACTGCTGATGATGTCACAAAGTGAGCTAAACGGTCCAGAGCACACAGGGTACGGGCAGGAGGCGCAGCTTTTACACAGACCTCTGTGTAATGGCAAAGCTTTGTGTGTCATCCTTACTCATTTGGCTGAACTTTCCCAGCAGGAATAAAGTATCTAGACGCAGGTGAGTCAGCATGTGCCTTCAAAAACAACCAGCTTTCACAGACTAAAGTGGTCATTTGACAGGTGGTACTCAGCTGCCATTATCCCTGCGCCTAATTAGTGGTTCTCTGTCTCTCATTTACCTGAAAATGTTTGCTTTTTCAATCATTCAGTGGCTTGGGAAAGTACATGTTTTGCCATGCTAGCTTCTTAAACCTCTCTAACTCCAGTCTAATATAGCCAGCTCAGCTTATTCACAGTCATGGTCATCTGATAAAGCTTGCTTGTTTTGGTCCCCACCCAGAATATGAAGAGGATTACAGACGAGTGCCAGAGCAGCAATAAAACGATAAAGCTTGTGCGCAGGCTACTGCCCTTTCGAAAAGAGCAGAGTCTGAGAGTGTTTGCTAAGTGGGTGGGTCTACCTGTCTGTATGTACAGCATACCCACCCACCTGAAAGAACACAATCCTACACCTGTACAATTAACATAAACACACGCTCACAACTACGCAAGCTCCTCTCATTATCCTCCTTTACATGCTAAAACCCAATGTACACCAGCACGACAAAGCTTAGCCACAGGCAAACACATTCCACTCATCTAGCTACTTCGTGCTCTGACCAGAGTCATCTGAAGGGATTTTCTCTACCTATACCGACACATACACCTCTGGGATTGGTTGTTTATTTGCTTTTGGATGCCTTCATTTTCCAGGTCTGTCAGGTTTCAACCCCAACATCGTCCCCTCTGAGTGAGAGTTCAGGGAATTTCCTTCTAGCCTTTGGTGCTGTCAGTCAGTCAGACAGCCAGTGACCCAGAACCAAAGGGTCCACAGAAAGGAAGTGTTGACTGCAGCTGAGGTCTGGCGTCTGAGCTGTAAGTCTGTGAGGCAGTATACCCACATATAGAAACACACATGAACATACAGTACGAACGTCACACACACACCTACAATGTCTTCACTGTCGGGCGGACTCATTGTGACAGCTGGCTGATTTTCCTACCTAACAACCTTTTAACACTGCAGGTCACTGAGAGAACACCCACTGTGCTTTCTCAAACTCTACCTCACCTATCCTGCTCCTCATCTCCCCCCTGTCAGAAGAGGACAGGAGCGAGGGAGAGTGTCGCACCACTGGACACCCGGAGACAGTTTGTGTCAGAGGTGACAGTAGAAAGGGAAGCAGGACATAAAGAAGTCCTTTATAGACTTCAGAGTCCTTTTTCCAGCCCAATAAAAGGGACCTTTCTGTTGTTTTTTCTCTTCTTTACACTAAGAGGAGGAACAAGGAGGGTGATCAGAGTGATCAGGCAAGAAGATGCAGGAAAAGCATGAGGTAAGACAAGAGAAATAAATAAGAAAGGGAGTTAAAGAGAAAAGTAGAGACAGGAAAAGTAGAGTGAAGGGTTTTTTCTCCTTTGTCGGTTCCAGGTGACTGAGAAGTAATAACATGCCCGGAGCGTTGTCAAACTGAGACAAGAGAAAAGAGGACAGGAGACAGTCTCTGGCCATGAATCAGGCTTTCATGACTCGCAAATTACTCCCTCCATTAACCGAGGGCCTCGACTCCCTCCCTTTACGCCTCCTCCACTCTTTCTTTCCCCCTCCACTTGTACAAATAGCCAACATGTTATTGACTTGTTGTAATAAGTGCCACCATAATTCTCTATCTGTCTCTCCTCCTTGTTTCTTTGTTGTCAACAGTTGCATGGCTGAGTTGACAAAGTATAAATTTAGGTCATACGGTCCTCCCTACGGCTGCGGAGGCAGGTTAGCAAGCACGGTAACTCTGTGTTTAAGACACTGTAGGTAGATAAGAAGTGCTGCCAACTGTACAGGAGGTAAACACACTGTCCGCTTGTCAGAAACAAAGCAGATTGCACAACAACTTGCAGCATTTCTGAGTGAAGCGTAGCAGGAACCCAGCCTCCAGAATCCTCCGGCTCCGTCCTCCACCTCCGCCCCATGCTGAGAGTCAGGTTCCCTTTTCTGTCAAAGTCTTTCACTGGGAGAGATAAGAGCAGGCAGGCCGGGGGGCCGCCTAAGGAGGGAGACAGGGGTAGAGAAGAGGAAAAGCGAGGAGAGGAGCACCTCAGGGGCCAGACAACCATCTGCAGACTTCAGCGGGGTCATCTCGTCTGTCAGTCAGAGCTGAAGACACCGTCCTCGCAAGACGTGTGCACATAGACAGAAAAACAACTCCAAGCCTTCACCAAGAGACGCAGCACTAAATGAAACACACAGCCGCTGGATAAGCCCTGCAGGCCTCCCCCTGTGTCCTGACACATCCGTCCTTACAGGCTGAATTATAAAATCATCCTTCCAGTGACAGAAATCTCAGATAATAACTACCAAGAGCAATGCAAAAAAAAAAGAAAAAAAAAGAAAAAAACTTAATCTCTGTCTAGATCAATAAAATACTGAAAGAAAACACTTGACAACAACCTTTTTAGAGCTTCCAGGTACGAATGTGCTGCATGACCTAACAGACATAAACAAATATACCTTAGCCCTTCCTTTCTCCTTCCCTGGTTGACATGCTATGTCATGTACAGTTCAGCCTATACTGGTAGCTTTACTGTCCTGGCCATCCGCAACAAAAGCTCTGAAAATACCCCTCTGGCTGGCGTCAAAGGTCTTTTAATGGGCTGGCCAGGGCCGCCAAGCTGGCCCTCAGACAGATTTATGTCCTTGTAATAATAATCAGCCTACTACTGTTACCCTGCAAAACATTCCTCTGTTTGAAGAAAGACATGTTAATTCAATTATAAACACCTCTTCTCATGCTAGAGGCACTCTGGGGATCTATTCTGGGCTCAGTACAAAGTGGGGTGATCACTGATGCGGAGTCCAGGTTGATTTGATTGTGAATTAATAAATTAAACACGCTAATGACGTGGGGCTATTAGTCCTAATTGATACGTCCATCAGAAAAGCAATCATGTAGTTGTACAGAAGAATACTTGAGTAAAAGAGCAGTCCTAATGTTGCTTTGCTGAATATAAGTTTTGAGGTAACTAATGAGCTATGACCAGGGAGGTAGCTTACATCAGCTGGGACTGTTAAAGCAAATTCAGTAATTACCTATCTCCATCAACAAATCCTTAGGGGAGAGCCCTGAATATGATATATGGCCAAAGTCTGTGTAAATAGAGATTCGTGTGAAGGCAAACAGCTTCTTCCAGTGCACCCCTGTAACTTAATCTACGACAGTCTGAGGCAGACCGGTCCCCCCCACCGCAGAAGAAGCAGCACCTCCAAGAACATGAAGCAGAAGAAACCCGCCTGACCTTACAAGCCGCTCTCTCTGTTTACAGGGCGACATATGTGCCAGTCTGGTTGCTGTAAAGCCAGCTTACTGCAGCAACAGCAGCTGAAAGAATATGCGCAAATAAATGCCTGCCAGTGAAAGTCCACTTTTGTCACATGTGTACAGTAAACGCAGTTATCATGGTTACTGCTTTATCGTGCACGCCAGGGCTACACTTGGCAGCTCCCATGGGTGCACAGATACCTCAGTGATGTCCTCTGCTGTTCTCAAGTCACAGGCAGGTCTTTTTAAACTCAGTTTCATGAGCCATAACTTCACTGATTTCTCTGCTGAATAGAATTAGCAGAATGTGCCAAAAACAACAGGTATTCATCTGTTTGTTCTCTAAATCACCTAAACCTGGAGGAAACACCTGTCCTTCAAACATCGGCGTCTCCCTCTCTCTGTTGTTAGAGTGGAGCCCTGAATCACAACAGCATATTATCAGTGGTTTCTGTGATTAACTCCACAATACAGTGTAATTTTACAGCTAATAAAAGCAAACTGCGTATGTAATCATGGTGCAGCTGTTTTTAGTCCCACCCTTCCCTTCGTGTTGTCACATCAACAATAGCAGCCTCACATGTACACAATATGTAGGGCTGCAAACAGGATTCAAAATGTTACTCAGGTCTGATGAGAAAAGTATCAAGAGGCAGAATTTACCTACGGAGTCAATCTCCAGTAGCCGCTGGAGGTCGCTGATGCTGTGGATTTCACTGTGGGACAGTCTGTCTATCAGCTCCTGGGGAAACTCCACTTCCTTCAGGGGGCGAGGTGGGGGAGAAGAGGTGGGGGTAAAGAAATCAAACAACAGAGGAAAGTTACAGATGTGTCAATTTACGTTTGTGTAATTGTTTATCTGTATAAATAAATTTGCTGAGTTTAAACAACCACCAGGGAGTTTTGCAGCTATAGGCCTGTGTGCCAACTAGCAAGCAGGTCTGCCCCGTTGCCAGACATCCCCCCTCATACAAAAACGGTAACGCCGAACCCCCTTGGGAAATTATGCAATTTAAGTGTTTAAGTTTGCAGGAGAGCAATTGCATGCGCATAGAATGACATTTTTGATTCAGATATTATGGTTAGTTCGGCTCACATCGTTCTAGAATTAGCACTGTAAAATGAGTTAAATTGCCTGTAGCTGGCACGTAGGACAATAATTGTAGGAAACCCCTCATAAAAATTTAAATTGTGCCAGTATAAGTACTTCTTTTGGTATCAATTGAGTGCCGAATTAAAGAGTAGATCCCAAGCAGCGCCAAAGTGCATTGAATTATTGTTTTACTAATCTTGTTCCTCTGCGGATACGTGAAACAACATTAAACCGTTTGTTTTCTTAAGGAATTTGGAACTGTACTACGACGACCCGTGCCCGTGCGAACCCCACAGCTCGCCACACTCTGCACTTGTTGCGGTGCTTCAAGCACCTCAAGTTGAGCAAACCGTGCAGCGTTACAGTGACAGCGGCTATTTATATCGCCCGGAGCGGTTCCCATGAAAGCGCTTAGCCCAACCAAAAAGTTTGCCCAGTTGGTTTCAATCTACAAACTGATTTGGCACAAAATACTAAAATAACTGCGATATGAGTCCAAGTGCAGCCGCGGTGTTGGTTCTCGAAAGCGCGCAGTCACTGCCCCTCATGGTAACTGGAGCTGATGTGCTGTGTGTTCATTCTGGCAAAATGAATTCAAACATTCAAACTGTTCTTAAAATAGCCCCCTAGTCTAAACTGCCCTGTTTGTTTTCTTAAAAAAACAGTTTGGATAGGTTATAGGCTAGTTTAAATAAAAAAGAGAATGGCTTTAAATTAACTTATGTAGGCTACGTGCTTATAATCTTATCTACTAGACTAATTACAGGCTTTAAATCAAAGCTATGCTCTGTAGTTTCTTTTCTCTGGGCATCAAGTTGAGTGTGGCTGCTGGAGATATGCGCGCTCTGCGGGACCTTTGCACCCTCAGGAATAAAAAAAAAACCAGCACCACTGTCTATGACACGGAGCCAGGGGGGCACAGTCTGTCCGGGCCCGCACCTCCCTGTCTGTGTGGCGTCCCGGTTAACTTTACCTCAGCAGTGGCCAGCAGCAGGTACGCCGTCCACAGCAGGAAGTAACAAAGAGCGGCTCTCATCTCCCTTTAATTTAGAATGAACCCCAAACAAGAAAAATGTGCTCTTCTGTAGGAGCCCCAGAGTCGCTCCTGGCCCCAGAGGATCCACAACCATCCCCTCCGGGGGGAGAGAAACCGGGGTGTCAGAGCTGCTCAGCGGGCTCGGTGAAACTCCGTGCTGCACTTGCTTGGAAGTGTGAAAAGCTGAAGAGGCTTGAAGTTGACTCTTGTTATTCACATTGGACTGCGTCCTCTTGAACAAGCTCTGCGCGGCAGCTCGACATAGCTCCTCAGGCGCAAGTGTGACAATCCCAAGAGACAAGTCTGACACGCATTGCACTTGTCCTTCACCCTTTAACAAATAGGCTTCAAACTTCAGCCCAGTTCACTTTGATATCAAAAAATAAAAACAAAAAAAGCAGCTCCCCTTCTTTTGGACAATGTTAGAATTAGACAGTACTTAAGACGCACGACTATTTTTCTTTGATTGTATTTAATAGTCCTAAAAGAATATAATCCAAACGAACAGATCCTCTCAGAAAATCACAAGGGAGAAAGTTGTCCGTGTTGTGCTATCCAGAGCCTGTCTTGCAGCAGTCTGCACAGCTCCTTGACTGTGTAGGACTCTGAAGTGAATGGAGTCAGAGCGCTTCTGAGCCGCTGGATATAGAGAGCCAGCAGCTCCGTGCCCGTTGCGCCTCCCCTCGCGTTTCGGTGATCGTGCATCTATTCAGCTGAGGGGAGCTGGTTGGTTGGTTGGATGACTTAAGACTCAAGAGCATGTCCCCGTCCCCCACCCCCACCCTCAGCCGGTGTGTGCGTGTGTGTGTGTGTGTGTGTGTGTGTGTGTGTGTGTGTGTGTATGTGCCCTTCAGCAGAGAGCCCATTCAGAGATTCAGGCTGTAATCGATATTGATTAGCTCTGATTGGAAAGGGTGTAAAACTGACTAATAAGTTTGGACAAAGTGAGACAAAAGGGATGAGGCTGCTGATGAAGATGGTGATGATGATTAGATGCAAAAGGCATTAAAGAATTAGGAGCAGAGGAAGGTGATAATCAAATTTATATTTAATCACTCAGGATGTTTTATGATTTTCAGGAGGTAACTAAATTTGGACCAACTAGACAAAAATGTAAAATGACGATGCCCATTATCATGGTAATGATGATGGTGGTGACTCATGATGTCTCATGATGATGACAGAGTAACACAAGCGCTCTTTGTGCATTTAATTTGAAGGAAGAACACATTTATGTAGTATGTCTGAACATCTAAGTTGACTTAAAAATAAACATCTGTAAATTTACCAAACACAGGTCAAATAATAAGGACAATGACATATGTATGATGAAAGCGACCCAACATTGTTTTAATTATCTAACACCCATACGTGTAGGGATGACATTGGTACACAGGAGGCAACTAGTTAACTGCAGGTTAACAACAGACTGGTCCTAACTTGTGAGGAGGCTGGAGGCTGGAGGCTGGAGGCTGGAGGCTGGAGGCTGGAGGCTGTGCGGTGCTGAGCTGCGCTGGGAGGTCTGGGAGACAAGGCCTGAGGGCCTGATAAACGAGACATACCTGCAGGAGCAGAGACACAGACAGAGACAGCGTGCACACACATTATCAGCCACAGGTGACAATCAGCGGGGAGCCATAGGTCAGCCAACCAGGTGGTCTGCCCTCCACCTTGTCCATTCAGCTGGATCGCAGAGCGCAAGGCCAGCCTGAAGGCATTGTGGCTGGGAACGCTGCATGAAGAAAAGCAGTGCAGCAGCTGGTGGAGTAATTAATGTAGCTATTTTAATAGGGCAATGAAGTTCATTTTAGAGATGGTACCAGCACTGTAAAATGAATGTAGTATCTTTAAAATAAATTTCCCTCTGCTAAAACGATTTATGTGACACATTGCTCCCATTGAAGCCTCTTTTTTTTCTAATTTATTGCACTGATCATTCCTCACTTTAACATTGCATGAGTAACTGTGTGCCTTCAAGAATGTGATGCTACAGCAAAATGACTAAGGCAGGCTGGTGTGACAGGCAGGTTCATCATGACCCCTGTGTGGTAGGCAACAGCCCTATAGTGTCGTCATGGCTACAACACAGGTCAGCCTCTCTGCCTCTCACTGGGATGCATGAATCAGTGTTTCTTAGAGGTGTACACTTTGCATCGTGGTGGGTAAGGGGGAGTCAGAGAAAGAGTGGGAGAGGGTGACTGTGAATGTGTGTCAGGTGAAGAAGTGAGTAAAAGGAAAAAAGTAGCAGGTGAGGATGATGCGTTTTCAGTCTTTCTCTGTTGTTCAATGTTAAAGTGTCTGTTGTGTTTCGATGATCGTACTTTAATCTAATGAATGTGGAGAAAAAATATCTTAAACCTGAGCTTCAGACAGAGGAGAGTGATGCAGGTGTGAGGTGACAAGGATGGCAGAGGTGATGACAGGAAGATAAAAAGAAAACGTTCACATGAAGAAAAACTGCGCAAAAGAGGTAAAAAGAAGAATCATGAGAACCACATTTAGGGAGAGAAGAAAAACTGAAAACAAGATTCAGAAATCATTCTCTCTCCCTCTCCCTTTCTGCATAAGCTATTAGGCAACATGTTTACTGGCAACTGAGCATTGTGTACCTAACAACATTAACCCCATTAAATGGTTTTATAGATGCTGGTGCACAGTAAATCTAGCCATAAAGACGCTGCGGAGAGGACGTTCTCTGAGTGAGGTGATGACTCCCGTTTCTCCCCCGGGCCACACATAGTTCCCAGAGAGAGAAGCGTAGGAAAAAGGGGGGGATTTTTTTTTTTTTTTTTAAGAATGTGGTGGAAATGAGTTGCATGGCCCCTGGGGGAATGGAGTGTGCCTCTCAGTCTGGATGAAGTCTGTCTGTTCTTATCATCTATTTCCATAGTAGGAGGGAGTGATCATTTCAGGAGTCTTGACCTTGTGAGCCCAAATATTTCTTAAACTGGCATTTCGGGCTTAGTTTCAGATCTGTTTTATAATCAGAATGAATCGATGACAATGGAGATTGAGGAAGAAGAAAATGAGGTTCAAAAATAGCAAAGAGGCTTCATTAATGAAATACTTCAGAATTTACTGCTGTATCATTTGGTTTGGCTTATTGACAAAATCTTAAACTACATTATTTTACATTACAACATACCAGATTTAGGGATAAAAAAAATGAAGGTCTGGACCTAATTCTATAATTGTCCCTGGGCTTTCCCTCCACCAATGTTCAACAAGATAGAATACAGGCATTTAATCCTTATCCCTGACCTGTGAAATTCTTTTATCATCCATAGTACGATACAGTCCCGATACCTTTTTGATATGCTCAAAGCAAAAGACCCAGTATCTTAGTCCAGTAAGTGTTATAACACACACATTTTCGTCCATAACCCAATCTCAACTCGATCCTGAACTCTGACCCTGCAACCAAAGCAAAGACTCTCACACTTCAGTGAGCTGGGGAACCATAAAAAGACAATAGAAACTCAATACACTGATAGCTGCATATTCACAACAGTTATGATACCTGCAACTGTTATATTTCCTTTCCAATGAGAGCTATCACATATTTTCCACTGGGCATCCCACTTCTATGACACCTCATAATGTCAAAGACCGAGTGGATTACAGAGTGGATTGCCTTGCAACAGAGAAACAAACAAATATTTTCACCTGGTGTCTCCAACAGCACCACCCAGCCATATCAGGAGCATGCATGAGTCACGGACACGAGGAACAGGTCCTTTGTAGACTAGCGTGTGATCTCCTCCCTCCTCCTCAGGGTAGAATTAGACGCAGCTAACTAAAAGCCCAAACTAGCTCATCAGTGTCTGTGATGACAAAGTTGATTACATTAGTGGGTTGTGTCTTGATGTTTTTAGTGCAGAGCTGTGTGATATTTGACACGAGCTGATGTCTTGTAATAGGCCCATTAGAAAGAGCGGTAACATTTATGGTTGGGTTACTCATGTACACATACACACACTTACACACTCCAGTAATTCAGGTGAAATTTCCCAGGAGCAAAGGTACATTCCAGAGGCTGGTAGTGATATAGATTGGACATGGAAATTATCCAGAGCAGAGTGCATATCCAGGGCAACCTCCACACACATAAACAAGTAGCCGCACGACGCACATACACGCAATCACTCATAGACTGACTCAAACACACACTCTCGCTGCTTGTTCGCTGAATATAAAGGAGTTGAAGGGGTGTGTGTTTGTATGTGGGGGGGGGGGGGGGGGGGGGGGTACAGGAGCCATACCTCCAACTGGTCCTAGACGCAGCTGTTCTTTTATAGGGATGATTACTGGCAGCCATTTACAGGCCTTCATCTCTCCAACATGCATAGCAACTTGAATGAAGCCCACTGTGGGGCCTCCCAGCACCCCTTTGCACCCCCTTTTTCCTTTACGGCACTATAGGTGTGCAGGCATTCAGGGGGCACAATGCCCAACGGCTCTTTCAAAAGTCACAAGTGTGTAGTCAAGTCCACCTCTGCGATTAAACATTATACCACATGCACACGTACATGCACAAAGCTGGTGATACAAGGTATGCAGGGCTAACTTTCAGCTGCAACACATTATACATTACAGCAGCGCACTCCAGTTGTTAAGAGACCGCGGCATCCTCTCCGTGTGATCTCCAGATCTGTCAAACAGCGGCCTGCTCTTGTCAGAACTCCGCCTTGACTTTTTCACTCTGTACTCCCGCATGAAAGCCATCCTTAGAGAGCTAGAAATAGGTGTTCGGTGTGAAGGAGAAATGACACCGAAGAGAGAAAATACTGCAGAGGAAATCTGTATGTGTGAGTGAGTGTGTGTGTTTTTTCACGTTCCTTGCAGCCTCAGCATCCAGCCGCTGCAGGTTCCAAGGTTTTACCCTGTTGTTGAGGTCAGAGATGGACTCCTGATCGCCGCCTCCAACCGCAACAGTACAGAGGCAGAAAGCCTCAGCTCCAGATGTGAGGATAGGAAATCCCATTTAGAAACAAAATCAGGTTTGTAGCTCAGGTATGAACATACCCACACATGCATTCTCTCTTCTCTCATACATTCACACATAGACTGTATATGTGGGAATCTACACTGAACAGGCAAAAATCACACACCTGCACTCTCATGCACATTCTCCAATTTCCACAAATGGACAGACAGACAGACAGACAGACATGAAGCAATCTGTGCACACGTCCTTACATGCAGTTCCCTGTTTCCCCCGTCCCAGCTCCTTTTCCCCTTAAAACACTGCCTCTTTATTCTCGATGAGCGAAAAAAAGAAGAAAAAAAACACTCTCTCTTTCTGCACACACACACTTGCAGAAAAAAGGGGACTTCCAGCCACTGAGAAATAGCAGCGTAATTACCGGTGCTCTGTTGTCTATCAAGACCTGACCTTTTCAACATGTGTGTGCCGTGTTGGGAGCGGTGGGAACCGGCGTGGAGGAAGACAAGGGTCTCCCCGGCTCTGTGGTGGTCTGACCCAACCTCCCCCCTCCTTTCTCCACTGCAACTCCCCTAAAACTCTGGGAACTCCCACTGCGCCCCCATGTTCTTTGGGTTCAGAGACTAGAAGGGGAGAAAACGGCTAAG